AAACACTTGCCCGGTAAGTACTTACCGATATAATTTAACACTATTATTTACTTACCGAGAAAGATTTTAGTCCACCAAAACGACTTTGTATGCAACAATTTACCCGATAAACGCTTACCGTAGTAAGAGTCGTCGCCCTCACTTACTGGGTAAGACTCTTGGTCCTTATCTTGCTCTTACCGGGTAAGACTCTTGGTCCTTAATTATCATATTTATTCAGCGATATAACGTGACTTAGTAAGCGCTTACTCGGATAAGCATTTAGTACACGACCCCTATAATTCAAAATCCATATTATTATTCAAAGCTTTCCAAGAAGAAGGATAAAAAACCACACACGAGTCTAACCAAATTCTTAGGGTCCGTTTGGTTTATAAGTTTGGTTTTAGGGATTTAGATTTTATGGAGGGATTTGGATTGGAATTGATTTCAAATCATTGGTGTATTTGGTTTGTAGGATTTGGAGTGGAATTGGATTTCATTATTTATAAATAATTTAAGAAAAAATTATAAAAAATATTGAATTACATTTTTATTAATCGGTTATTACAAAACAAATGTTTTTAACAATTTTTAAAACTTTATTGCATACAATCCCGTGAAGTTCCGAGCACTCCTTAAGGATTTTAAAATCCTATATTTAAAAGATTTCAATTAAATTTAAAGATTTCAAATCCGGACAATCCAACAAACCAAACATCGGATTGAAATGGATTTGAAAATGCAAATCCCTAAAATACATTTAATTTTACCAAATTAAATTATTAATTCATATGTAGATTTTCAATAAAATTTTCATGATGTAATAAATTAATATTTTAATATTAAATCATACTAAAAGGACTATTTAATAAGAGTTGTGCATAATAGCATTGAAAACAATTGTAAAGCAATTGTCGTTGTGAAATATAATTAAAAATTAAATTATTAAGGATGACAATGACTAATGAGTTCTATATTATTAGAAATTGTCAAATTGCATGGTCTTACAAATTTACTATTGGGTTTTGGAATTGTCGAATAAACTAAGAGAATAAATTTGACCAAAATAAATCAAATTAGTGATTAATCTAACTATTTGGGAGTTATTGAATGGTTGGTGCAGAATGGTTAAGTGGTCAGAATAATTCAGAGACTCTTATAATATAGTGCTAAATTAGATATAATCATTTGGTAACTGTTTAAAATAAAATTAGGGTGCTGAATGGTTAAGAGAGTTCCATGATACAAAATCATTCAGATAGCGTTTAGTACGAAGATATAATTGGATAGGTCTGAACAGGACAACACTGGACAAGACTAGACGGTAGGACTGGATGGCACATGACTGGACTGGACAGAATAAGAGTATGTCTTGTGTTTTGTATGATTAGGACTAGGCGAGAGCGAGACAGAACTAGACAAACTACCCCCAAAAGTTATTTGATGATTTTAAATATTATATATAATTATAATTAACACAAATAAAGTAAATAATTAAAGAATTTAATTTATAAATATTTGTACACAATTTTCATATAAATGAATACATACATATATAATGGTACCAATTTTGAATGAATTTTTTTGATATAATTGATGGTAGTGGTGGTAGTGGAGGTGGTTTTAGTCATGGTGGAAGTGGTGGTGGTTGGTGCCCGACGGTGGTTATGGAGCTAGAGGCAATGGTGGTTGGTAGACGGCAGTGGTTATAGAAGACACGAAGATGGTAGATTGTGGTTGTAGTGGTGGTGGCGGTTGACAATGGTGGATGAGGTAGTTGTGGCTGATGTAGTAAAGATAGTGGTGGTGGTTATGGTGGAGTTGAGATGACAATGAATGGTGGTGGTCGATGGTGGTTGTTGCAGTAGCAAAAAGAGTTGGAGGTGACCAACGGTGCTAGTGGTGGTGGCAATGAACAGTGGTGGTTGGTGGTCGATGGTGATTGTGGAGGTCATGGAGGAGGTTGTTGCGGTATAGGAGGATTTGGAGGTGGCCAACGATGGTAGTGGTAGTGGTAGTGGTGGTCGAGGGCCGATGGTGGTTGTAAAGGTGGCAATAGACAATGGTGAAGGAGGTTGTTGTAGTAGAGGAGGATTTGGAGGTGTCGAACGACGGTAGTGGTGGCGCAATGAACAGTGGTGTTCGGTGGTCGACTATGGTAATGGTGGTGATGGACTTGGTGGACGATGGTTATGGAGGCGATGAAGGATGTTATTGTAGTGAAAGAAAAGGTGGAGGTGGAGGTGGCCACCGGTAGTAGCGGCGACGACCGAAACTAGCGGTGATGATCACTAAAAAAAGTAACATATTAATGTTATATATCAAACTATGGTAGATTAGTAATATTTTAGTTTCTGATATAAGTGGAACAAGGAAAAGCCTCTTTTCTCCCATGATGTCTTATATTGTTCCAGTTTTTGTCCGTCACATATCGTGTCAAACGTGAGATAGTGAGTTCTTGTTCTATCCTATGTTGTGCCAAACATGGGACAATGAGTTTCGTCCCGTTTTGTCCCGTTCCATCTCATGTACCAAACGCAGTCTCAGAGGGTTTTGGAACCATTAAGAGACAACTTTTTTTTGTCAAACAAAATTAATCTTTTAAAGATTCAGAAACTACCTCGTAATGTAATTTTTAAGAATTAAACAAACAACCCCTTAATTTTGGTTTCTTGAGCTTTAATAAAATCTTTTAAAATGGGACCTGAATTTTAACAAGTCTAGAAATCATTTTTATGATTTATCATTTTACTTTGAAAATAATGTCTAGTCACTAACTCCGTTAACAATCTCCATGAAGACTATTTAATTTTTCTTGTATGTATATCTTCTTAAATATTTAAAAAAAATATAATATAATTTATATATTATTTCTCTTCTCTCACTCT